GTTTAAATAATTGCATTGTTATTTTTCCAAACTTAAATGACTCTTCTCATGGAGTTTTCTAGTTCTTCCCAAGGGATCATTGAACGTCGAGGGGAAAGAACATCCACTGAATCCTTTGAGACCAGTCACATTACATTTCATAGTATTGCCTTGTTCCATGATACTAGCTTAACTTCCCTATTAATCTGAATCAGTGGGTGGTCTTATAGTGATAAAATTTGGGGTGGAGAAAAGTAAAATGTCTAACTCTCATGCCCCGTTGTAATTGTTCTCATCCTTTAGACTTGGCGTTAAAGCGGGCGTGGTGATGATTCCCCTGCTGGGCGTTTCGTGGTTGTTTGGTTTCCTGGCACCATTGCACAAAGTTTTCACTTACATTTTTACCATCCTCAACTCTACGCAGGTTAGCTTAGACTCGTGATTCATGATATTAAATTAATCACGCTAGAAAGTAGAAATCTCTCTATTGCCATGGTTGTAGACATTTTAGTTGTGGCGAGATCAATTTGGTCCTAAGGGCAAATAAGTTATAACCGATTACTTTGTATGTTCATAACATAAAAGTTCTTGCCACTTTTTACGTCACTCTTACAATTGACAAGTTTTAATACTAATACCACATTCACACTAAAGCCCAAACTTACTTAAACTTTTTTGTCTGTCTGTTTGTTTGTTTGTTTGTTTGTTTGTTTTTTCTGTTTTATCATAGAAGCGGCTTAAGGTAACTTTTGTGTGCATCCAGTTTAGCACGTTGAAAATACAAGCTAGTGATCACCTGGAAACCATAAAAAATAATTTTTAGCTCGCTGTTGCTGATTTCCAATTAGTTTACCTTGGTCCCACTAATCATCTTTTTTTCTGGTTTAAATGGGGTAAAAATTTAGCTTAATTCGTTCCAGAAACCCAACATGACCCTTAACCCTTCATACATTACAAAAGAGAAAAATGATTCTCAACCCTTTTTTTTGTTTTAGGGCTTCCTGATTTTCGTGCTGCATTGTGTGCGAAACACCCAGGTGAGATGAACTTTGAAAAACATTTTATCTTTTTTTTTTAATTTGTTACAAATTTTTCTTAATTATGTGCAGTTAAAATGTTTCCGCTTTTCCACCCTCAGATTCAAGAGCGATTCAAACGAAAGCTGAACACTGTTTTTCCATCGGTATATACTAAAAACTCCGCAATGAAGGGCTCGCAAACTAATCCAAGTGCTGTCGAAGATATAGGGGCGACCGAATTGCAGTCTTGCGATGAATTTGAACTGAAATAAAACTTAAATAACTGGACTGAGTGGGCTGAAACTAATTAACGAATGTTTGATACGATCGTCAGGTTTGATCTGTCAGGTCGTTCTATTCGCTTCGAGTTACGAGCTCATTTTAATGTTCATGATTGTATTTTTAGA